CCCAAAGGACTTGGTTAGAGCTGTGAATTAATAGCACACAATAGTTCTGTCTGGAGAAAAGAAATAAAAAAAGACAGAGATGTCCAACTATTTTAAAATTTATCTGACTAACCAAAAGTCCAACAGAAACTTTAAGCAACCAATCTAGGTCCTTATATTCAATTTTTAAAATTTTAGGTTTCTCCTCCCCTTCTCCTTATAGCTAACTAGTAAATCTGTACATTTTGAGTCATATTATTCTTGAATTCTAAGGGACCCACAGGCCTTCTTGGCCTTCTTACTTAACATCTAATAAATACTGGAATTAGCCTTAAAGAATCCCTGACAACTGTACCAGGCATAGAGATTATGAGGACAGATGTCGGTTCATGCATGTGCTGGGTCCCTTGGGAGCTGGAGGAAGCCAGAGGTGGAAAGAGTTGGGGGTAAGCCAGACCTCTAATTACCTCTTAACCCAGGCCCCAGAGGTTGCTATGGGCCTGCCTGAAGATGTTCATCTAGTCTCTGCTTGATCGTTCCCAGAGCAGGAGGCCTTTGCCAGGACCCATCCTATCTTGTTATGTATGGACACAGCTCTGATTGTTGAAGGGTGCCCTCTCATGCTGTGCCAAAATCTGCTTCCTTGTGTTTTCTACCCATTGTTCCTCATGGTTTCTCTAGAACAATGCTGTTCTACTCAACTTCCTCTCCTCTGGAATTGTCCCCTAGATAGCTAAAGTCAACTCTCATGACTCCCGTGCATACTGTCTTCTCCAAACTCAATATCCTCAGTTTCTTTCTCAGATCAAAGTCAAATACACAACTGTTATAACAATATTAAGAGGTAGAACATATAATCACCATAAGAGAAAGACAAAAAGGTGGCCTGAAATTAGAATTTTTTTCAAAAGAGAGTTAAGTTTTTTTTTTAACTGAAAAGCTGAAATGTTTAACTGATACTGAGAAACACTGTCATTCCACAGAGTTCCTCCACGCTATCCATCAAGTCATCTGTCAAAATGGAAATGTAGCTTGATAAGACTTTTTCTTAGTAACACCACACCAGCAACTATATGCAATCATTAATTCTCACCAAGTTGCATTTACTCCTTGCCTTTGTTTACTATTAATGCCTACCTTGAGAAAAGGCTCTAGAAAAATACTTATTTGCTTATAAATGGTTGTGGCATGATTTCTTTTCTTTTTTTCTTTTTTATAATCTTCATCCAAGGATATTTTTTTCATTGCTTTTCAGAGAGAGTAGAAGGGAGGAAGAGAGGAAAGGGGAGAGGGAGAGGGAGAGGGAGAGGGAGAGGGAGAGGG